TAAGAAATCAGGAACAATCTCCACCAAAATTCCCCTTAATTTCCTTTAAACCCCATAATTCCCTATATCCACCAAAAAATACCGCATTACACTTGCTTATTCACTCGCTATATCCCAAAACCAATACCTCTCAATTTCTACTAAAATTAATACGTGAAAATCTCTGCGATATCCGCTAATTGTAAGAGCACACATTTTTTCTTTATTATCCATTCGACAAAAAAGATCGAACCGGAGGTCCACGGTGATTCAAGTTTATTTTTAAAGTCAGTCATAAGAATTGTTAAAATGCACGTCGATGATCGAAGCTCGCTTCCGTTTACGAACGTTACGCGAGTCAATCAACGATGATGAAAAAACCTTGAACCGATTTCGATCGAACGTTAGGTTAGACACGAAACTGGGTGACGCCATAATTCTTCATTCATTGGCGGGCATTTTGTAGACACGTTCAAGGATGTCTTACAAACCTCAACACGCATGCACGCAGCTGATCGAATTTGTAAATCGGATACGTTTCACATAATGTTACGATAGTATTGGGTGTTAGACTTACGTTGTTCGACAAAAGTTTGGAATGCGCTGTTCTATAATTCGTTACATCGATTTAGTGATGCAACTGTTACTTACGTGCTGAATGACGTTGAAACCCACTTTTAAATTACGTGTATCGTTATTATTCAATGAATAATGTTGCTAACGTATTTCGTAATTAAACGATACTTTAAAACGCTTTGCAAGATGTACCCACATTCTAGATGAAAGTATTTTAAGCTTTTTATTTATAACTGTTATAGTTTTATCTGCTTAACTATTATCTGCTGTTATAAGTTTATTTATTTAGCTATTTTTTATTGTTACAAATTTATTCACTTAACTTTTTATTGTTATAATTTATTGACTTAACTCTTTATTGCTATAACTTTATCTATTTAAGTATTTATCTATTGTTACATAGTTATCTATTTATCTTTACTTATAAATTCATCTATTTATTTATTGTTACTTTATCCATTTATCTAATTATATATTTTTATATATTTATTTAACTAGTTACTTCATCTGTCATTATAGATTTTCTTATTTAACTGTTTATTTACTATTAAAAAATTTATCTATTTGTCTACTCATTGTCTATTCATTGTTATAAATTTATTTTTCTATTTATCTATTACTATAAATTTATCTACTGTTAAAAATATTTGATGTTTAATTTATAAAATGGAAGCAAATTGCATAACAATTGTCAATATTTAGTTAATTAAAATAATATACCTTGTTCATTTTTGTAGTAGTTATTAAAGGACAACGATAAATTTTCTTATAAATACCTTATAATGATGTTAACACTTATTGAATATAAAAGAGTTGAAACAAAAATTTATATATGAAATAAGAAACAGAAATTTGGAAATGTATACAAAACTGTAAAGGTGACAGTTTTATAGCTGGTACCTGTCTTACCTGTTTTATCAAACTATACCTCTTTTTGTTTTATTGCTTTATATATATAAAAGAAGACCGATACTATGTATAACAAGTATACTAATAAATAAAGCTATACGTCAATATTTAACACTTTATCTACCGCTAGCCTATTAATCGGCTTTTTAATTTCCAACGCTTATCGACCGGTAGCCTATTTATCGGCTTTTTCATTGCCAACGCTTATCAACCGCTAGCCTATTAATAGGCTTTTCGATTGCCAATGCTTGTCAAAAAATTGAATTACTGTTACCTTGAATTTATTTTATGAATGTTAGTTTATACGGCCCTTTATTATATAAAATAAATGCAAAATAAAGTATAAATATTAATAAAATTACATTCCTTTGAAACAAAAGAAATAAGCACAACACAATGAATAGCAAAAATTTAGCCGGTACTGGGAGTAAGTGCGCGCGCGACTCAGCCGGTACTTAGTGACTGGCAGCCTCAAAAACGACCGGTCAATAAAGTGTTAAAATGATGCATTTATCAGTAACTAGCGTTCAGTACTAAGAATTAAAGATTTACATGTTTTTATATGTATAAATCCGTTTTAAAACCGGCGAAATCCGGTTCTATATGGTTTTTAAGTATTGTATAAAGAAAGAGTGGTATTACCTTCGATAGTTTCAGTTTCACATTTAATCGTTTGATGACTCTAAAAACTCTGCATTTCATTCTTGTCCTACCAATATGTTTGCAGTAAATAATGTTAGACCAGGATAGTGTGAATGAGGTGAAAATCAAGCACTGAATTAACTGATAGTTTATTAATTTATTCTAACACGTTCTTTGACATAGACATGGCGCGAGACTAACCGGCCGGCTGTCGCGCAGACTCGTTTTGGCACGAGTGTCGCCGAAATTGCACGACCGCATCCGAATCACCCGGCACACAGCAAAACACAAAAAAGAATAGAAATCGAACCGTGCTGAATTATTTATTCTTAATAGGTATTCTTTTTAAACACACATTCGAATTCGGCACGTTTAATCGTTTGAACGACTTTAAAATTTCTATATCTTTCTTGTCCTACCTGTATAGTAGGTACTTGATACCTTAAATACACATTCGAATTCGCGTGAGACACCTGGTCAGTAGATTCACTATAAATGTTTCCCGTTTTTTACATTTTCTATGGCGAAGCTTACTATGTATAACAGTATATTGCGTGTACTTGCATTGTTCCGACTCTTAAACCTTATTTTCTAAACCTAAGCACGTGACATCAAATGACACGACGCGACGCGACGTGACGAAAAGACTCGTAGTCGCGTATGTTTGTCACACATCGGAATTGCTTATTGAGTAATGCTAGCGCTTACTCTCGCTGTTGATACGAACCCGTATGACACACTGACACAGAAATCGACTTATGGTAACTGCTTCTCGTAAGGCGGGCGGTGGGGATACATCTCCAACGAAACAAGAAGAAATAATACGTGTCTTGAACAGTAGCCTTATCATAACCTTGATATCTGCATAACGTGTTATATTTTCATTAATTAAAAAGTGAAAATAAGTGGGACTATTAGTCACGCGACTGGAAATATATAATAGTAATAATAACAGTTATAGGAATGTGAAGTGACATGGGACTGATCTCTTATTTGATATTACAAGGTGGTTGGATTCATTTGCTTACTGCGAATAATTTGTGAAGCTTATAGTTTCCTTCATAACTGCATAGTTATTTAAATTTGTAAATTTATGAATTTTTAAATTAATACATTTTTAAATTTCCTAATTTTTTAACTTGGTAATTAGTATATTCCCAAATATCTACATTTTGAATTTCAAAATTTTTACATCTTTGCATTTTCATATTATTATATTTTTAAATTTCTACATGACTAAATTTTCACATTTTCAAATTTCTATATTCTCATATTTCTACACTCCCGAATTTCTAGGGTCTCCAATTTCTACATTCGTAAATCTTTATACTTTCAAATATCTACATCCCAAATCTCTCCAATTCCTACAATGCCTACATATCCAAATTTCTAAATTTATAAATTGCCAAATTTTTATTCAACTTTTATTTAATACAACATTTTGTAAATGAAGTTCCTCAAGGTGCCATTTTGTAAATATTCACGAACCCCATCTTTCCACACTTAATTTCTAGTCAAATTTATGGAACAAACCATGAAATTTAATCGGTTCATTTAAACAGAATTATAATAATGTTATGATAATAACTTTCGATAGCTTCAATACTACGACTAAAAATGCAAAACACTCTATGAATTAAAAAACCTTATTACGTAGATATTTTATGGAGGTAGAAGAATTCTGTCGAAATTTTTCATGGTCTTTGCAGGTTAATTTGCAAATCTAAGAAGAGCAATGACTCGATCTTCCGGATTCGATCTGTCTGGCAACTGTGAAGGGAAAAGAAGTAAGAGAAGATGAACGAGAGAAGAAGAGAGAAAGAGACAGGAATTTCGTCGGTGTTCCAGTGAAATTCGAAAGGTCGTTTTTTCGAGGTTACCTGCACTCGCGGCACAACACGAAGACGTTTCCACGTGGCCATATACGGGGTGTTCTGCACGTAGTGGAACTAGTGGGTTTACAGAGAGTTACCACACGCGAATTCGAATGTGCAATTAAAATTTCTAGTACCTACCGTAAACGTATAGGTAGAAGATATGTATCTGTAGCATAGTAGTATCTTTATGTGTACTTACGATGTGCGGCATTAATGTAGCACATACATATGAAGGTATAACACAGTAAACATATTACATCCCATTACAGTTTGTGTTTCAAATTTCCACCTACAAATCATGTTCAATAGGAAGATGTTTTTAACATTTGAGGTTATGGTTACACCTAGTTTTATCAGATACTTTGATACTGATATTGATGATCTTTGTGATTATGATGCGATGATACACCAGTGGGTCTACAGACCAGATGCCTCACGCGAATTCGAATGTATATTTCAAATTTCGAGTACCTACAGTAGACATACAGGTAGAACAAGAATGAGATTTTAAAGTCGTTCCAAACGATTAAACGTGTTTGAAACAATCGAAAACGATACCGAACACGATTATTCTTGATTTCACGACGACCGACGTCAATGACGACCAAGTATTGTCGTCGACGATGAGTTATAGAGCTTTTAACGTGCTTCCAGTCGATTCTATGTGTCAAAAATTATCAAAAACGATACTAAATGGTTTTTTATCGATTCGAAGATCGACGTCAATGACAGGTTTCTGTCTTCAGATCACCGTCAAAATCGATGCAGATAATTTAGGATGTCTCACGAGTCTACCCCAAAAATTTCAAGTTAAAAGACCCAAAATTACCTGCAGCATATTGATTTTTAATTTTTATAACTTAATATGTCATAAAAATGGAAATAAAATGAAATGCTATTAAAATATGAAGGCATAAATTTAATTGGGCACTCTATATATGTTTTTTTGCGTCAATGCTGCCATCTACAACTATTTCATCGCATCAGTTTACGTCACAATTTAAAAATGGCGGCCAGCAGGTCGATCAGCTGATTCTCATTTGTTTGTATCTCGAAAGTAAAGCTTCAGATTTTTAAATGTTAGAGTACTTTCTAACTTCTTTTACCATGAAAAGTTCATATGTCGCATAAAAATATTTTATTCAGGCTTTCCACAAAATACTCTATATTTTCACAGAAAATTTATTCTAAATCACAGATATAGTGAACGAACACTTTGTAACCTGTCTTTGTAAACTTTTAGAATAAAAATATACTGCACATTATTTTGTTTAAATATTTGCTTACAATTTATTAGGAAGTTAAAAGGATATAACCTAAAGAAATAGAAAGCTGATAGTTTTCTAAAATACTGTGGTTGCATCATTGCTACAATAATTTATAAGTGTTAATAATTGTTCGAATTCGAAGATGGTGGAAATTAAAGCAGAAAGAGAAATTTTAACGCATTTCAGATGACCATAAAATTTAAATTTTAAGTTAGGAAGTGAACGTTCCTCGTTTTATCTTTCTTCCTCTTTTTTCTTTTGCTTTTATATTCGGTTTATTAAAGTCGAAAGCAGTGATGAATAAAACATTTATTTGCTCAATTATTTATCGATTTTTCGAAGGAAGCAAGTAATAATTTTATGTAAACGATTATGTAATTCTTGATAAGAAATGCTATACTTCACAAGATTACGTGTTAATTAATTTCAATGTTGTATTTATGATCGTGTAGTAAATTATTATATTTATTATAATTGTAGATTATTGTAAATATATTTTAAATATATTTTATTGTTATTATTATCATTATCTTTTATTATAATAGATACAAAATGCAAATACAAGATACAAATACAAGATACAAATACAAGATACAAATACAAGATACAAATACAAGATACAAATACAAGATACAAATACACCATACAAATACACGATACAAATACACGATACAAATACAAGATACAAATACAAGATACAAATACAAGATACAAATACAAGATACAAATACAAGATACAAATACAAGATACAAATACAAGATACAAATACAAGATACAAATACAAGATACAAATACAAGATACAAATACAAGATACAAATACAAGATACAAATACAAGATACAAATACAAGATACAAATACAAGATACAAATACAAGATACAAATACAAGATACAAATACAAGATACAAATACACGATACAAATACAAGATACAAACACAAGATAAAAATAAAAGCCATAAATACAAAATGCAAATACAAAATAGAAATAAAAGATGGAAATACAAAATACAAATGCAAGATAAAGGTACAAGATAGAAATGCAAAATACAAACACAACATAGAAACACAAAACAGAAGCACAAATTCACAATGCACTACACAAACCCCCAAAAAATGCAAATACAAATAAAAACTAAATAAAATAAAATCAAAGAAAAAATATATAAAATGTAATCTTTTGTCTCTCCCTTCATAAATATATTTTTATTGCAAGAGTCGCATCATCATCGTTCACCGTTGTTAACCATGTGATGAAAAAGAGACAGGAAACATCTGGTGCCTTTCTTGTTTCTCTTTCAACAACACTTTCACTGTGTCCCGTGACTCTGATCCCCTTGCTTCCCTCTTCGTTCTTGTCCTCCTTACAACATGCACCTGCAAGTGAAACTTTCGACCACTCGTCTCCTCCATTTTTCATAACGAGAGTGGTCAATAATTTCCCCGATACCGATGGAATGAGGAAAAATAGCAGCCAGCCATTTTCAAGATCAGCTTGGACGATCGCGATCGGTCGATGAATTCGGAAGCTTGAACTTCTTAGATCGATTGTTTTGTAGGACAATTTTCAATTATCATTTCAAAATTCAAATCTCATTTTTCAATTTCACATTTTAAACATTTTCTTTTGTACTTTTTGATGTCTGAGTTGATTATGAGTTTTTATGAACGAAACTATTCGGATAGGGTATTTATAGAAGGTGGGTAAGTAGGTATTTATAAGTTGTATATGTATTTGATTTACGTATGTATGTATGACATTATAATATATTATAATTATAACATGTGATATACGACTATGACTTATAATATATGACCTACGACTAAGACTTATGAAATATGACTTACGTAGGAAAGTTACGTAGGTATGCGACTGGACATTAGGGGTGAAATAGTTGACAAGTTTTGCAGGTGGTTTTAGGTATTCGAGATTGAGAAAATTGGAATCTTGGGAATTTGCATGTTTGCAATTTTGGAAATTAGGGAATTGGCAATTAGGAAATTGGGAAATAGGAAAATTGGGAAATAGGAAAATTGGTAATTTAGGAATTTGGTAATTTAGGAATGTGGAAATTTAGGAATTTAGGAATTTGGTAATTTATGAATTTGGATATTTAGGAATTTGGTAATTTAGGAATTTAGATATTTAGGAAATTGGAAATTTTGGAGTATGGAAATTTTGGAATTTGGTAATTTAGAAATTTGGATATTTAGGAATTTGGAAATTTAGGAATTTGGAAATTTAGGAATTTGGAAATTTTGGAATATGGAAATTTTGGAATTTGGACATTTTGGAATTTGGAAATTTTGGAATTTGGAAATTTTGGAATTTGGAAATTTTGGAATTTGGAAATTTTGGAATTTGGAAATTTAGGTATTTGGTAATTTTGGAATTTGGAAATTTTGGAATATGGAAATTTTGGAATTTGGAAATTTTGGAATTTGGAAATTTAGGTATTTGGTAATTTTGGAATTTGGAAATTTTGGAATATGGAAATTTTGGAATATGGAAATTTTGGAATTTGGAAATTTAGGTATTTGGTAATTTAGGAGTTTGGTAATTTAAGAATTTGGAAATTTAGCAATTTGGGAATTTATGAATTTGAGGATTTGGGGAATTTAGAAATTGGGGCATTTAGGAACTTGAGAATTTAGGAACTGGGGAATTTTGGAAGTGGAGAAGTAGGGAATCTAGGAATTTGGGAATTGGGGAATTTGGGAATTAGGGAACTTAGGAATTAGGAAATTGGGGAATTTGAGAATTTGGGAATTTGGGAATTTGTAAATTTGTAAATTTGTAAATTTTGGAATTTGGAAATTTAGGTAATTAGTAATTTAGGAATTTGTAAATTTTGGAATTTGGGACTTTTGGAAATTCATAAATTTGAGAATTTATTTGAAAATCTTGAAGGTAACAAAAATATTCAGAATAAACAATTAGATTCGTCAAAAATAAAATTGCTACCTTCTGCAAATTTAAAAAGTATCATCTACCACTCAAAATGTAAAAATATAAAATTATGTTAAAAATAACCTTGTATTTTTTTCATAGCAATTGCATAATTTACCTTTTGTTTCAAAATTGCATTTCTCGTTCGCGATCATTTCTATTTGCATATTGAATCCTACTTTGTTTCATAAATTTCATGAACAATTATTTAGCTTATGTTACGTTAATTAGGTCGAAATAGCATTTCTCAGTCTTACTTTGTTTCATAAATTTCACGAACAATGTTAAGTTATGTTAAGTTAGTTAGGACAAAATTGCATTTCTTACTTTGTTTCATAAATTTCATGAACAATTATTTAGCTTATGTTACGTTAATTAGGTCAAAATAGCATTTCTCAGTCTTACTTTGTTTCATAAATTTCATGAACAATGTTAAATTATGTTAGGTTAGTTAGGACAAAATTGCATTTCTCAATCTTACTTTGTTTCATAAATTTCTTGAATAACGTTAGGTTAGGTTCAGTTAGTTAGATCTATTGCATTTCTTGTTCCCAATCTTTTTGCATATTCAATTGTACTTTGTTTCACAAATTTCATAAATAACGTTAGGTCAAAAAAGGTTAATAGAGCAACCTAGCCATAAAACGTCATTAGTCTGAAATCATTGAAATGCGCTCCTAGTTAGAATTGTTAGAACAAGAGTCAAGTAAGATGGTGGTGCACCCATACGAACCTCTCTCCTCGTCATCCATTGTTTTTTGAATTTTTTATTCTTATCGGTCGAGAGTGGAGGAAAAGAATTCATACGCAAGAAGAGAGATATTCGTGGAAGCAAAAAAAGAGGAGGTTCGATCAACGTGCAAGGGATCAACAAAAATTCTGAGAAGCCGAGAACGAAGAATCGCAGCGATCAGAATAGAATGTCGTAATTGTCATGTGATCGTCGAAAGGATCGTCCAACGATGTGTCTTACACCACACCGTTCACCGTCAATTTCATTGGGCTACAGTTGTTTCAGCCTTTCCCTATCCGATTTTTTTCTCGGTGGTTGACTTTAACCGCGTGAGAATGCTCCGATAACGAAAAATCGTATTCTCAATCAAGTGAAAGTGTCGTTTACGATTGAGGAACACAAGACACTCGCAGAAAAGGGTAACAAAAACACGACACGGACGTGGAAGTAGAATTTTTCATTGGTTTGTATTGTACGATAGGGTATCGTATAACTTACCCAGAAGAAAAGGAATTCTGCGGATGCAAAAGGAAACTGACAGTTTAGTGGCTTTTTATCGCGGACAAAAAGTCTTGAATGGGTTCTATCAAGGTTTTACAAATTAACATACGTTTTTCTCGGTGTCCATTTTGACACGGCATGATTATTCATATGGGGAACAGGTTACGTACAGTTCTGCCAAATGACACTTTTACAGGCGGTATCATAACTGCATAGACGTGGATGTAGAATTTTTCATTAATAGGTGTGTGAAGAATGTTAAAATGTATCCTAAAAGAGTAAAATGGATGAAACGAGTTTTAAAAATGGCGCGAAAAGATAACTGTACCGTCATATGGGTTATAGGTAATGTAACCTGAACTTCTTCTGTAAAGAAGTAAACCAATAAACTTAACAAAGCTGAACTTTTTCATTGGTTCATACTGTATGACAGACGATATCATATAACTCACCCTACAGAAAAAGAAATTAAATAAGGGAGTCCTTAACTTCTGCCAACATAATGTATACTGTGATCATAATGATGCGTGTTATATGTCACGTACCTTGCGGTAGGAATATTATTCTGGTCTGATCTAACCTGATTCACCAACTGAATTAACCTAACCTGAGTCACTAACTGAATCGGAATGGGTCAGAAAAATATCAGTTAGCCACAAAAGTCAAGATTCATTATCGAAGTTCGACGCCACATCGAGAGTGGGTCAGAAAAATAACATAGTTAGCCACAGAAGTCAAGATTCATTATCGAAGTTCGACGCCACATCGAGAAGACGAAAGTAATTCCTTGAGTAGGATGCAGCAGGAGTAGGATCTAAGGACAAAATTTATTCAATTTTAAAATAGTTTTACATAAAATTATGTTTCATTGTACATCTTATTAAATTTTCACACTTGTTAACATAATTGGTGGCTCTAGAAACCGATTTCTGAAATACTTTAAGCTATAATGTCTGTTACGGTATTTCGACATTTTACCACATATCTTTCAAAATGGCATTCTATCAGTGCGGTTCAGAAATTTTCCAAATGCACTGATAAGTTTAATGTGAAATACTTTTACTCAGACCTTGAACTACATTTAGAAATTTTTGTTTGAATAAAAATTGTTTTAGATTTGTTGAACAATAGGGAAGCAAATTAATTTTGTTTCTTATTAATTTTTTTTAAATACTGAAATTAAGTGTTTCTTCTACTAGTATGTGATGACGTGACCAGTTAAGCATTCTTTGGCGCGATTTCACGTGAGACCGAATTATTAAACGAATCAGTCGTAGTGTATTTATTACATTGTAAATATTTACTGTATTAAAGTATTCTGAACATTTACGTTGCTAACTATACCAACATATAATTGTCCTCGATCTGAAACTCATCATATCAACAAAATCTAAAATTTTGTAATACACTTTTATTAATTTTTCTTACATTATAAAGTCACATAAATTCCTCAGAATGTTGAAGGAAAAGAGAAAGGAAAAAGATTACACATAAAAAGATGTTTGTGCAGCAGTAAAAGCCTTTAAAACAGATACTTCGTTACAAGTAGCCAGTGAAATGTTTTGTGTACCAAAATTAATTCAGAAGAAATAATTCCATAGTAATCGATGGAATAAATTTTTTTATTAATAAACTATTTGTATTCCACAAAAGAAATTTAGGAACTTGAGAATTTTAGGAATTTGGGAATGGGGGGAATTGGTAATTTGGTAAATTAGGAATTTGGGAATTTAAGAAATTGGACAATTGGAAATTTGGTAATTTAAGAATTTGGGGAATTGACGATTTGGTAATTTAGGAATTCGGGAAATTAAAAAATTGGACAATTGGAAATTTGGTAATTTAGAAATTTGGGAATTTGAGAATTTGGGGAGTTGGCAATTTGGTATTTTAGGAATTTGGGAATTTGAGAATTTGGGGAATTAACAATTTGCTAATTTAGCAATTCGGGAAATGAGGAAATTAGACAACTGAGAATTTAGTAATTTAGGAATCTGCATATTTGTAAAATAAAACTACATTTGGAAAATAAAAGAAAATGAATTTGCACCACTTAAATAAAACTATCAAAAAAAAAAAACTGCAGTGAAATAACAGAAACTGAGAAACACCACTAAACTGTATGATCAATGGATGAATTTATGTTTGAAAGATCACTGACAATTTTATAGGTCGATTAAAAGGAGGTCACTGAAAGGTAAAGTGGAACACGAAGATCCCTCGTCGGGGCGCCCAGTTCTGATTGTTTCGGTGCTGGTGCCACGTCGTGACCTTGACCCCTGAATATAAATCGACATCCTGCTTGCAATTCTACTTTCATCCGTGGAGAAACTTCGATTTCGTTACTGAATCGGAAACCATTGGTACATTCAATATTTTATTACTTCGAACCAAAAGTGTTTGCAGTCATTGAGTAATTTGCAACCAACAATGTTGTAACCCGATTTTCGATTTTTCGTGTATAATTGCTGAAGACAAAACATGTTTAACAATTTAACCTTCTTTCGTTGCCTTGACATTGTAGCAATAATTAACAAGCTGTACATGACCAACCTGCCTAAAAAGTTGTAAGTGAAGGGGTTAAATTGTTCTTCCGGTACAAATTCGATCAGAGTCTGATTTTTTATCTGATCTCATTCAGATATAGATAACACTACAGAATTGTTATTTTAACATCTTCGGAACTGATCATGTACTTCATGAATTTGATCAAATCCCTATTTTGATACAAATTCAGTTAAAGCTTGATTTTCTTAATATCTATACTCATTCAGATATAGAATGATCACCTCACATAGTTGTTATTTTAATATCTTCCTCATTGATCATATACCTAAGGAATTTGATCAAATCCCTACTTTGATACAAAATTCAGTTACAAATTCAGAGCTTGATTTTTTTAGTATCTGTATTCATTCAGACATAGAATGATCACCCCACGGCGTTGTTTTAATATCTTCCTCATCGATCATATACCTAAGGAATTTGATCAAATCCCTACTTTGATACAAAATTCAGTTACAAATTCAGAGCTTGATTTTTTTAGTATCTGTATTCATTCAGACATAGAATGATCACCTCACAGAGTTGTTATTTTAATATCTTCTGAATTGATCATGCACCTTAGGATTTTGATCAAATCCCTACTTTGATACAAAATTCAGATACAATTTCTGAGCTTGATTTTTTTAGTATTTGTATTCATTCAGACATAGAATGATCACCCCACAGCGTTGTTATTTTAATATCTTCCTCATTGATCATATACCTAAGGAATTTGATCAAATTTCTACTTTGATACAAAATTCAGATACAAATTCAGAGCTTGATTTTTTTAGTATTTGTATTCATTCAGACATAGAATGATCACCTCACAGAGTTGTTATTTTAATATCTTCTGAATTGATTATGTACCTCAGGAATTTCATCAAATCCCTACCTTGATCATCTCAACGCGACAAATCCACAGAGTGAATTTTCGGGGAAAACGTCAAAGCCCTCGAAAAGCAGGGATAAAAAAGGGAAATCGTACGCAGGAAATCGGGCAAACCAGACGATTCGCAGAGAAGAATCTCGCGAGAGTAATCGTCGCGATAAAATCAGTCCTGAAAGTCGGGTGAACCGAGTTGGTATCATTAGGTTCCTTCCGCGTGGTGCTTTCGCCGTCGTTCCATTCTCCGTGGTTGCAACTTGTTCCACTCGGGTTTTCTTCGCACGTGACACGAGCCACGGGTTCCTCAGCTCGTCTCCTCCATCGTCCTCGCTGTCCGTCTCTCTCTCGTCCGACCACCTGCCATAGCGGTCTCTCCTTTTTCACGTGACTGGTGCCATCGTACTTTCTCTGTCTGTTAAATTGCACATAGAATCGGCGTTCTAGCAATCTAACGTCTGCTCCTTCTTTCCCTCCGAAGGAGTAATTGCAGAGGGTCGTGCTTTCTCTCTCGCTTCAATCATTCCTCCTCGTTGCATGTACGTAACACCAAAGGACCATGGTGTCCTCGCGCTCCCACGACTCCACACGTCCTTCTGTACATCTCTTTGTTCCTCAGCAGCTACACCCATAAGCTCGTCCTCCTTTTCACGTGATCGAGCCATCTTGTTTTCTCTATTCCCGTTTAAACGGGTGTCTCTCTCTTTCCTGCTGGCACTCGTGACTCCTCGACGGTCTTCGCCGGTGCCGAGAGAGGCACCTCTCGCTTTCACTCGTCCGTGTGAAGAGGCTATCGCGGACCCCGAGAGCTCAGTATCCGCCGGACCGTCGCGTGGTTCGATGTCGTGCACTTTAACACGAGCCTGTACTGATCAAGTGCATCGTCCAAGTGTTTTTTCATCCTGATTTGGTGACCCTCGTCGATATCGAACAACTAAGTCCGAACTTACGGGGTTTTGCGTTGAAGAACTGTGTCGCGCGCCGGGGGAACCATGAAGGCACACGCGATAAGGTAAGGGGCGGCAGTTGGTTTATTTTGATTTTCCGGTTTCTTTTTATTATTTTCTGCGATTTTTTATTTTTTAGCTGGTAATATTCTGGTTTAATAGTTTTTAGTGACATTTGTTCAATATTGCGATTTGGTAGTTTGGTATATTTATTTAATATTTTGATTTAATAGTATTTGGTATGATAAAGTTTGATACTCTGATTTTGTAGGATTCAAATTAGAGAAATTTATTTGGGGGTTTTTATTCGATTTTTTTGTTTAGTAGCATTTGACTTAATAATATTTATTTAATATTCTCATTTAACAATAATTGGTTTAGTAACATTTATTTAATATTCTGATTTAGTCGGATTTGATTTAATAAAATTTATTTAGTAGTATTTATTCAATATCATTGTTTGGTAGCATTTGGTTGAAAGACTGAGGAAGAGAATCTTATAAAAACACCCTATTTTTGGTATCTGGAAAGTTTCTAAAAAATAGAATAATTTCTAAAAAATTGTATTAATTAGTTCCCTCAAAATAAATAGTAGAGAGGTAATTTTAGTTTAGTATAAAATATTGTTTCACTCTTTGAATCATAAATATGGGGGTTGTAAATGCAGCTCACTCATGAGATCACACTATTTCTGTCATCTAAGGAATTTTTAATAAACTATTCACTTTTATTTATTTCTTCAAAATTAGCACTAAAAGTGATCTAGGTTTTGTGTAATATATTATTTAATCCTTTTCTGAATAAAATTATGGTCATAACACTGAAGTAGGCGCTTTGAGGAGACTAATCCTAAAGACCACCTTATTTCTGTCATCTACTGATTTTCTAAGAAATTCTATTCATTGTTAATTATTTCTTCGACATTAATCTGAGAGCTTTAAGTTAACGTTAAAAGAAGTGGCTAGATAAAGATTATTTAAATATAATCAATAATTAATTCATAAAATATTATTCAATTGGAACTTCAAATTTCCATGGGAATATCTGTGTAATTATTAATTTACTATTAGTATGTTTTACTATTCTTAAACATCAAAAACATTTACCGGTACTTGTGAATTTGATAAATGCAGCTACAATCGTATCAAAGTACTATAAAACATAATTTCGACCACTCACTTACGTATGCAAATATATAGGCCAATGTCACATACGACATTTTGTCAGAGAATCGAACTTTTTTAACCCCTTGCCTTACAATATCGTCTCCCGAATATGACGCACGTAATTGTTAACCAATGATCTTGCACGTAGAAATGCGACGAATTTGGCTCACATTTTCATCACGATTCAATTTCGCGTTTAATTTCAATTCCTACCCCTCCACCTACCCTTCCACCACCGTATAGAAAATGTCCCTAACATCTGAATATTTTTTGTCAGTCTTAATGTCACAACAATAATTAAGTCGCCCTGTCTGACGCATCCGCTGAGAAAGTCATAAGTTAAGGGGTTAAAATGAGCCAATATCCTCAAATCAATTGCGAAAAGTGCCGGAAGATGGATGTAAGGGGTTAGGAGTCCTTCTTAACGAGAGAAAGAAAGTCGAAATTAAAATACTGGTTTCAAGAGAGCACTTATCTGAATTGAAACAAAAAAGTAATAAGGAAAAGCATTAGCTCATGTACGACACTCAATTATTCTGGAGTTAACCTTTAACGGACGACACTTGTTTTTATAGTAATTGGTCATGAGATGAGAAATTATTAGCTAAATTTAAATTTGATATGTAGTTTTATTTGAATTCATGAAATTCTTTACATACATGTATTTATAGTGTGGTATTCGTGTTATTTAGGGAAGAAATGTGATGTCTTTGTACAGTTTGGTGTTTTGGTAAGGGTTGATGAAGATTTATTTTATTGAATAATGAAGTAATATTAGTATTAGATTAGGATGTTTGAATTAATATTAATTTTATGGTATATTTGAATATTGTGTTATACTGCTTACAATTATATTAGTATATGATATAACATTATATACTAATTAGTATAAATAATACAATGTATACTAATATAATATGATTATATATATAATATTCATTGATTATGTAAAATTATATAATATATAATCATATATTGTATACTAATATAATTATAACAATTATAATATTACATTCAAGTATTGAATCAGTACTAATTTAAGTATATTAATATAAATCAACATATAAATATACAGTTAGTGAATTAGAATAAAATTATTTATTTATTAATTATAATTAATGTAGTAATTATAATGGTGCAGTTTAAAATTTGTGTAATAATAATGGTGAGCATTATAGGATTGCCTACACACAATTGTGGAATGATGCAATTGTCAATTTTTGGGGGATACATTTTTTAATTGATGAAATTTTAACTTTGGATATTTAGAAACATAGATATTTTACTTATTTTGGCAACTTGGGAATTTAGAAACTTCGATATTTGGGAATCTGGGAATTTAAAAAATGGAGAATTTCAGAATTTGCAAATTAGGGATTTTTGGAATCTGGGAATCTGGGGATTTTGGAATTCAGGAATAGGGGAATTTGAGAATGTGGGAATTTAGGAATTGGGGAATGTAGGAATTGGGAAATTTAGGAATTGGGAAATTTAGGATTTGTGGAATTTGGAAATTGGGGAATTTGGAAATTGGGGAAGTGGGGAATCTAGGAATTTGGGAATAGGGGAATTTGAGAATGTGGGAATTTAGGAATTGGGGAATTTAGAAATTGGGGAATTTAGGAATTGGGAAATTTAGAAATTGGGGAATTTTGGAATCGGGAAATTTAGGAATTGTGGAACTGGGGAATCTAGAAATTTGGGAATTGGGAAAGTGTGAAATCTAGGAATTTAGGAATTGGGAAATTTAGAAATTGGGGAAGTGGGGAATCTAGAAATTTGGGAATTGGGGAAGTGGGAAATCTAGGAATTTGGGAATTGGGGAAGTGGGAAATCTAGGAATTTGGGAATTGGGGAAGTGTGAAATCTAGGAATTTGGAAATTGGGAATTGGGGAATTTAGGAATTGGGAAATTTAGAAATTGGAGAAGTGGGGAATCTAGAAATTTGGGAATTGAGGAAGTGGGAAATCTAGGAATTTGGGAATTGGGGAAGTGGGAAATCTAGGAATTTGGAATTTGGAAATTGGGAATTTAGGAATTGGGAAATTTAGGAATTGGGGAAGTGGGGAATTTGAGAATTCGGGAATTTGGGAACTTAGGAAATTTGAGAATTTGGAAATTTAGAGATCTGGAAATTTGCAAATATGAAAAATCAAAAACCACAGTACTCAAAATGTAAAAAATTGAAACCACGAAAAATCAAAACATATAAAGTTGAAAAATTTGTCAATTCATGAAAGATAAATAGCATTTAACAAAATAAAATGAAAATGGAACTAGCAATAATGGTATTCAAGTTCCATATACACCAAGCAACAACTTTCAAATGCTAAATATAATCAAAAGCTAAATGTAAACTAAAAATAAATTAAATATAGATAGAAAAAAAAATGATTAAATTTTGTCATTGTACCCCGCGTGCGATCGAGATATTTTTCTCGGTAGCCGGTCGTACGTGCAACGAATAAGAATTGAACGTAATCCACCGACCGGACAGGAAGTGACTGTTCAAAAGTGAAAGTTAACGTATTCGTTTTTCAAATTTTCGAGTCACGAATTGGCTCAATCCTTTCCTTCAGATACCTTGGATAACATTGTACCGGTAACTTGCTATTAAGTTCCCTCTGAGTTCTTCTAATTCCCTATCTCTCTAGTCTTCTTAAGCTCTTTTTGTACTTTCTCTATCACCTAGGGCTTAAGCATTTTTAGAGTCCTCTTGAAACTCTATCTAGATTCTACACTTCTGGAGAAATTCATATTTTCTTGGACTCTATTTATGTTATATTTATTTATATTTTTTGTGGAATTTTCTAAACTTATTTATTTACTTTCCTAGATTTATTTATTTCCCTAGATTGATTTATTCTTTTCCTAAACTTCTCCAGATTTATTTATTTATTATTTGAGATTCCTTTATTTTCTTCCTAGAATCGCATATACTTATTTATTTCCCTAGTTTTGATTTATTTTCTTCTTTGGGGATTTGGGAATTTAGGAACTGTGTAATTTCGGAATTGGAAAAATGAGGAATCTAGGAAATTCCTAAATTTCCCAATTCCCCAATTCCAAAATTTCCCAAGTCCCAAATTCCTAGATTCCTCATTTCCCCAATTCCTAAATTTTCCAATTCCGAAATTACCCAATTCCTAAATTCCCGAATCCCCAAATTCCCAAATCTCCAGATTCTCAGATTTCTAAATTTGCCAATTTTCAAATCCCCAAATCCCCAAATCTCCAGATTCCCAAATTCCAAATCCCCAGATTTATTTATTTTCTTTCTAGAATTTCCTCATTTATTTATTTTCCGAAACAAACTTGTTTTCTTCCTACATTCTCGTGGATTTATTTATTTACTTATTTAGTTTCGTAGACTGATTTATTTTCTTCTTAGATTTTTGTAGATTTATTTATTTATTTATTTTGTTAGGCTTGTTTAGTTTCCTCCTAGACTTCCTAGACTTCCAAGACTTTACTAAATAAATAGATTTATTTATTTATTACTTGATTTTTTTAAATTCTTCGCAGACTGTATCTATACCTTAACCTAACCTAACCTATAGCGTTATTAAATTCCCCTAGGTCGCCACCTCTATGGTTTTTTCCTAGATTTTTACACAAGTCCATTTCAAATACCTCATTTTAGCTTCTCCTTAAGTCCTTTAAACCCAATAATGCAAAAATACTAACATTTTTTTTTTATCTTTTTCAACTTTCTGAAAATGAAGCAGTCATAAAGTTGCGTGTCTACCAAATACAGGAACACTGTCTACGTTAGGTTATGTTTTCCTTGAGTCTTCCGAAAATAAAGATCGCGAAACGTTATTCATTCTTTCCTGGATAGAGGAAAAAATCAGGGAGCACCATATTTAGCAGAAGTAGAAGATTCTAAATTAGGTTGATTCTAAATTGTCCTTGAGTCGTTACAAAATAAAACGTACGTCGTAAAACGTATTTCTCTCATGGATACGAGAAAAAAGATTGCAAAATACCGTATTTGTACGTAATGATAGATTTTAGGTTAGAATCTGAGGGTTTTCTTTTTGGTTCCTCAAAAATTCTCTTACTTTTTATTTTTGGGAGAAGGTAAAAGTTACAGAGTGTAGATTTGAAAAATGCAATAGTTATTTTTGCAATAATAAGGTAGAACTTATACTAAATTAAAACGCGCTTGTAATTATATACATAATTACTAATACAATTTTCACGAATCACTGTTGCACATATAATTGCATTCAAATGATGTGAAACATTTAACTAGTCAATATTCAGAGATTTGCGGAAATTTTATTTAAAACTTTTATAATATGACTCATATCATTTATAAAACCTTAAGTTATTAAAATTTTAATTTATTGAAATTGTAAGATAAAAAAGTAACTACGTTATATATCAAATTATTAATTTAATTCATTAAGTTGTTATAAAAGAATTAATTAATTCAATAAAACTAATTTGTCAAATCAAAAATAAAATAATAAATTTTTAAATTTTACTAAGTGCCTGAAATGCAAGAATTGATCTTCCTAATCAGCATATACTCTTAATAATCTCGTATTCATAATTTAAAGAAAAAAAATGAAAGAACATTTAAAGATGAATTAAAATTAAATTACTGAATATACAAGAAGGCAATTTATGTAATGGATTGTTAAAGTTCAAACTACTTATGTGTTCTAAAATTTCAACAAATGTCAAGGACTCGTGCATCGACATCATGTAAAGCAAGAATTCCGTCTGAACATTTCAAGAGCGGGAAATTTAAAAGTTCAAATAAACTTTTTAATATACCTCATACTTTTTAAATAAAATATATCGTGTTCGAGGGTTTAAATAAGTGTTAACAAAGTTGTATAATGATTTTGTTAAGCTAAAATAATGTAGAATAGAATTTCTATAATAATTTTGTCTGCAAAAATGGATAATCATGCAAATACGCATATGTCATACGATCGAAAATAGTAGTATAGTCTAGAATAGTTGTATGTCTGCAAAATAATATTAAACTGTGCTATTAATATTAAAACAGATTTATTATGTAAAGAACATAGATATTAAATATTATAAATACAGGGATGTTCCTCATTAAGTACAATTATTGTACGCAGTTTCGTAAAGGAAATATTTTAATTCATTTCACAAATAATATGTAGAAAATGAATATAAAAACAAATACCTTGAGTCATCAGATATCTTGTCATGCAAGGATTAATTGCTTTTTAAATACGTCAATTATATTCTACAGTATTCGCCTTTATTGTTTTTTATTTACTGACATATTCGTGAAGATTTATTTTGTAGGCGTCATATTGTGTTTTGCCTAAGCAAAACAGCAACGTGACGAAAATGGCGGACATAGGATAATAATTTTCTTAGAATCAGAAAAATGTTTACGTTGATTCGAATGGAAAATTTATTATTGGAAATTAATTAAACAACTATTGAAAATTGGGAATTTGGGAATTTAGGAATTGGGGCATTTAGGAACTTGGGAATATAGGAACTGGGGAATTTTGAAAGTGGAGAAGTAGGGAATCTAGGAATTTGGGAATTAGGGAATTGGGGAATTTGGGAATTAGAGAACTTAGGAATTGGGGAATTGGAGAGTTTGGGAATTTGGAAATTTGGGAATTTGGGAATTTGAGAATTTGGGAGTTTGGGAATTTGGAAATTTGGGAATTTGGGAATTTGAGAATTTGGGAGTTTGGGAATTTGGAAATTTGGGAATTTGG